TTTATTTAGAAGGGTTTACATGAAAACCTAATTTAAAATAACTAAAATTGAAAAGAATTCGAAATAAACTAAATGATAAAAATAGCACCCAAACTTTAAAAGCAATTTTCGAGTCCTAAACAAATTCAAATTGCTAAAATCCATCATATGTCACAGTATAATAGTATGTTAAGTTCGGCTCATCGTTCTCTTTTCGAAAAGGTATTATGAGCCCAAATCGGAGCTTGAAAGCTAAATTTTCATACTTTACCCTTTTTCCCCCTTTCTATCCAACTATTCCTCAATCCATTCAACCATCTATTTTGCATCATGGCGACTTGGCTCAGCTCAACTCAACTCAGCTTGACCTATTTAACACCCCAACCTTCTGTTCTCCTCACCCAATATGGGGGTGAAAGGAGTGGGGAGAGGTGAGGTGACACAAGGGTAGGGTGGAGGTTGAGGTTGAGGTTGGGGATGGGGCGAAGAGGGAGATGAATGTGATGAAGGCCTTTTATAATGACAGTTGAAAAAATGCGTTTCTTTTGTAGGGGGCTGGTTCTTCATTTTTGAAACAGTGAACTTTAAAAAAGATTGTCATGTTCATCACATTTTTATTTTATCATTTTGTTGTCAAGAATGTATGAAGCATTTAATTCAAGTAATGATACTATCATGCTGTCCTTTCCTTAATTTTCCATTCAATAATTGTTGTTTATGAATTTCCAATATTTTTATTAGTTCGTCTATTAACCAAAGTAATGATACCGAGATGTCCTTTACCGGCTTCTTGTATGACATATAGGGCCCGTTTGTTAAAGAAGAGTAGAATTCGTGAAAAAACTATTTTAGACCAACTTTCTCTAAAAATTCTCCTAGTCAAACAAAATACTTTTAGAAAATTACTCAAATATATTCGTAGATATTTATCGTCTGTTTGGACTCCGTTAAAAGCAAAAAATGTATTTTCATTCCTTGCAAATGTGGGTCCGCACTGATGGAATTTGTAAAATGTAATGGCTCATTAAAACTCATTTTAACGAGGATCAAACACTAGCATAGCATTTAACACAAGTATTACATACTACCGAAATAACAGATATTCTCATTCCTACTGAAAGGACCAGAAGTAGATGACTCTCCGTGACTAACTCCATAAGTACAATCTGATAACTCAAACCAAATGAAGTGAACAAGAAGTTGATTGTAGGATTGGGGGTGGGGGTGGGTAACCTATAACCACATCCTATAGACGCTCCAGCCGTGGGCTGCTCGGGATAATCTCGGTGCAACTTAGCTGACATGTCGACCACCGCAACATAGTAAAACCCCCATCATTACGAGACTTGTGAACCAAAACCTAAATGGAATCCCAGCAATACAACTGGTTCCTAATCTATTCGCACCCGATACTACGCTTTCATGTGCCGGAGTAGATTTCACTGTGGCAGATATAACCAACGATTGGCAATCTGATGAATGACAAGGAGGGTTCACGCTCGGCTGTTGCGTGTTTTGAGGGTGGAAAAATGTATATGCTTGTGGCGAGATGGCCATGGGACTCTCATTCTTGAGCCCGTGAGCTCGATCATCAGCTCTTGTAAGGGAGAGCAATGAAAGAATGACAAAGAGCACGAAAGGAGTCATTTTGGGGAGTTAAGTTTTCTGTGTTTTTGCAAACTCAATTCTGGTGTGCAGAAAATAGGGAAATAGGCTTGCTTTTATAGGTTGTAATGTGGTTGTTGCTTGAATTTGAATCTTGGTCTATGAGGTGGTATAGAGGGCATGCTAATGATACAATTGTTTAGGCAGTGTTATGAAGTTGTCTCCAAAACTGGCCCTAACAATTATGTTCTTCTATCTGTGTAGCTCGACACTCGAAAATTTCAGAAGTCATTACTTTAACGACAACGAGTTTATGTACCTAATGCGTAGCTAGTAATTGAAGTGAAGTCTAGCAAAATTACTTGAATGAGTTAAGCACAAGCTTATTCTAAAGAGTGTTTTTCCAACTCGACTAAGACACATAGTATTGGATACGGTAACATATAGATTCACACTATTCATTCTTGCCTTCATTGGTACGTTGAATCTGAGGACGGATTATTGGGGTTAGCTCACCCTCGTGGGATCCCTGCCATTGTAGCACGTGTCGCCCAGAACATATGATGACTTGACGTCATCCCCACC